AAAATATAATTAGAAAAATCTAGTAATTATTTCATTCACTCTCACAAATACATTCTAATCAGGGCTGATTCTTTAAAAAATAGTTTAAAGTAAAATGCCACGGTCATTTGTGAAAACATAATTTCATTTATCTCTCTTCTATTATTTTTGTTTGTTTGTTTTTCTTCTCTTTTATTCTCAAGATCAAGATCAAAGATGTTGTCCTGATGCAGATATCCACTCTACTGGATACCAAATGCAGAGCCCAGAAATTTTCAGAAAACAAAAAGTGAAAGATGGTATCTTTTCAATTCAAAAAACAAATACTCTAATAATTATAAATCTCAGGTAGTATACTATGTCTACATTTAGAGGAGTCAATTACTGAGAAAACTCTTTGCCATCATAATTATCTTTGTGTCTTAAAATACAGATGGTTCTACCTAAACTCAGTCATAACTAGAAAATAAATCTTAATAAATAATTGATTATTCTATCAAGGAAATTTCTTTGTTAGTGATAAAATGGAAATACATTAAAACAGTCATATTTAATATGATACCAGTTTTTACAGACTTTAAATTCTTACTTTCTCCTCAGGGTTCCAATGAAGTTTTTGTACTATATCTGTGCCAAAGTCACCACTGTATAAAACTGATGAGCAAGTTAACACTATAAAAAAGAAAGTAAGTCAAGGAAGAATCTCAGACAAGATCTAAGTTTAATGTAGATCCAAAACAAAGATCATTTTCAAAGTCCAAAAGGACAACTCACACATTTGTTGCCAAAGTTCAAGTCCATTTTCTTAAATATTTAATGTCACATGGCAGCAGTAAAACTGAAAATGTGCCCAGAAGATTACCACAATATGGTTCTCACAGTCAATCCCTCTCTCTTTGCTTGGAGAATCAGCAATTCTATCATAAACTTCTGATAATTATTTGTAGGGAGAGCATTAACTCATCCTTCATTTTTTTTTTTTTGGAGTTACCACGACCAACTTAAACAGTATCTATTTCTGGCTTAGTTACTGAACTTCAATCTGAATTTAATATTTCAAGTCCTTTAGTTTAAGGTTATTAACCTAAGAATCTCTCCTACCCAAAAGCTGCTTACACTGTGCCAATAGTGTTCCCTTAAATTTTGTTACTCAATTCTCTTCCAACTATAGCCATACTTTACATTGAAGGATACTGCTAAGTACACTTACTCCACACCAGATAAGCAACAGCAGTCTGATCCAGAAGATTTGTTTACCGTGAATTTTGGGCTGCATTAGGTAGGAAAGGATGGTCTGAACAAGCATATAAAATGAGCCCATACCAAAAGTGAGCACACCTCCACTGACATGTACAACAAAAAGGGCTGTTTTCTGGGAGGTAAGAAAAAAAAGTCAGTAAAAGAAATTCAGAACATACTGGCAATACAATATTTAAAAGTACAAGTCAGAGATTTCAATAGGACATTCACTGAGTGGAGAAACTGCAAATTTCACATGCTTTCACATACTTCTGAATTGTCTCTCATAACAATATAAACCTGAAGATTATAGTAAAACCAAATAATTTCATTTTTCACTATAAAATGTAATAATAATTACTCATTCTTCTACTCATTTAATAATACACCTTTTGGGTGTCCATCAGATGCCAAGCACTGGTGTAAAAGTCCTCAGATACATAGTGAACAAGAAGAGGCAAAATATAGCCCTCGTGGAGTTTACATTTTAGTGATGATATACAAACAATAAATGAACTTTAGAAATAAGGAAATTCCACAACATGTTACATAGTGATAAGTGTAAAAGAAGAGTAGTGCAAGGTAGAGAGGATTGGATAGCTGGAAGTATTAGGGGTAAGAAGTTTAAATCTAATTTAAAGGCTCAAGAAATGAAAATATTCTCTGTGCTAGTTTGATTTGGTTTTGGTTATATGACAGGGATTACCATAAGTTATAATTTTTTTCTCCTTTACCATACTCTTCTTATAGATACCCACTTACATTTTACTTTTAACATTATATATACCCTATGCCTAAAAGTGACAATTATATATACCCTATGCATAAAAATTCTACATGAAAGTTTTTGGTTGAATTGCTTTTTCTAAACTGATGTCATTTGTATTTCCTTCAGATGAAAACATATTGAGAGTACCTGATGAATAAGATAACAACAAAAGATAAAGTAGGGCTTGGTTTCCTTCTTTTACAATCTGTACTAAGTTAGAAATAGTGTTCAATTTTCTTAATTCAATCTTCTTAGTTATAGGAGATACTTAATACAAAGAAGTAATAGATTTCCGCTTTTGCTTTCTTTTTTGGAAAGAGCCACTTGCATAGGATTGGGGGTATTATATTTTGACGAAGCTAAATATAGATATTGTCTGATCAATGTCAATATATAGTGGTTTAACAAAACCCCATGAGTTAAAAAGCAAAAAAATAAATGGAGAGCATTTACTATTTTTTTGTTATTGAAATGGGAGTACATAAAACTGGTTTTAGTGGCCATTTTTCTGCTTACTATATTTAGTTTTGTTATTTTAGAGACAGAGAAAGATCTTGAGCTTACTGAATTAATGTCTTCCTAATAGAATACTAAAGCCTCTGGCAATTTGCTGGCCATTCAGGAAGGAGCTTTTATTTGGTTTTGATTAGGCTATGTTACAGAGCAAACGTAACATGAGTTATATAGAAAGAAAAAAGTTAATTCAAAGAAAATTTACATTTAAAAAAAGAAAGAAAAAGATAAAATTTTCACTCAGGTAAGAAAAAAATATTCAATGAAAATTGATAGTAACTAATAATCCTTAGCCAGAGGAATGTAAATTGTGTCCTGCGGAACATAACTGATTATCAGATTGGGAATTATGTTCAGTTTTGCTAATTTTGCATCCATTCCCAAGTTCACTTCAACATTCTCTATCAATGTGTGTTACTCTGACTACTCTTCTGAACTGCTTTGTAAATATCTTCTGTTTCCCTGATTAATTAACAAGTTAAAAATCTTTGACACATGTTCAAAAGTTTATCCAACTTAAAAATATATCTTGTAACAAAACAAATACAAAAATTTAACCGCTGACAGGACAAAAACATGAGAAAGTTCAGAAGTGGTAGGGAACAAATCTTAGATATATAATTTATACATTACCTATGAGTGATCTATAACCTTTCCTAAAAGCAGCTAATGAAACTTAGGAACTAATCTGCTTACTTATTCTTAGCCTTTCCAAAGTCTCCTTGAGAATAAATTTTCTATTATCGATTTCTTGATAACAAGAAATAAATTAAGAATTTTGCTGCCCTAAAAAAAAAAAAAAAAGAATTTTGCTGCCCTGAGCCAAAGAATACCAAGAATTACCTCAAACACCAGAAGCGAGAAAAGATGCTCCTTCTGGGGACAAAAGAGAGAACTAGACCTACCCACACCTTGTTTTTGGACTTATGAACTTTGACAGACTAAATTTCTCTTGTTTTAAACTATCTAGTTGGTGGTATTTTGTTATGGCAGCTCTAGGAAACTAATATATATTTCTGATTACTTATCCCCTCATCTCCTGGAGGATAAATTTCCTGAAAGGAAAAAATTCCTCTAACTGGGCACTGAGGACATTTACCGTGTATTTGTTTTGTTGAATACTATATACAGTATGCATGTGTTTTCAAAGAAACTTAATTTATATTTTTTATTTATATTTTTCAAATATAGCAAGTTTGAGTCATCTCTTTAAATATAGGCAAACAACAGAGATGGACAAGTTTTTTCCAACCTACTTAGTCCCTTTGGCATCTCTCAATAAATTCCTATATAATTAACAAGACCACATTTATACTAAGTACTCTGCTGGGTGCTAGAGATACAACACTGAAGCACAGCACTTAAAATTGATGAAGAAATATATAAACTAAAAAATAGATAAATAAATTTTATTTCTGGCTTTTTGAGACAGGGTCTCACTATGCAGTTCAGACTGGCCTTGAACTCACTAGCCCGGGCTGGCCTCGAACTTGAATCAACCCTCCTGGCCTCAGTCTTCCAAATCTTGAAATGCAGGGATGCACCAACATGCTTGGCTGATAAATAAAAATTTAAACCACTCATATGAAATTAGACTGTAATAAGAGCTATGTATCAGAGGCTTAAAGAACACAAAACACAAAAACTCAAAATATACTGTAATAGATACTGACAGAAAGACTTCTTTGAAGCAGTATGGTCAACACTGAGGTCTTAAGATGCCTAAATCCATTTTGGTTAGGGAGTTTTGGCATGCACAACATATGAAAAAGAATTAAATAAGCTTTTCCAGTTTCAGGGGAAAAAAGTGGGCCAGGATTACATACAATGGAGATATTAAGAAAGAGGATAATACAGAATGAGGCTAAAAAGATAGAGAAGAGCCAGATTATATAACATCTTTGTGTTCATTAAATAATTTGGGAATTTATCAAATTATTTTTTTCCTCTCTTGATTCTCTTTTTTCCATCCAATTTGAAGCTGTAGAACTTTAAGCAATGGTACAGGGAAACAGAGTGAGATACTTGTACGTTTCCAAAAGATCACTGTGGCTGCAATATGAAGAAATGATTAAAGGAAACTAAGAATGACTACAGAGAAGCCATTGAGGAGGCAATGGCAGCAGTCCAGATGAGCAATGAGGCAATCTGCCTTGGTTGAAAAGGAGATGATAGGGAGGAAAGGGCTATAAATTCCCATTTTTCTCTGTATTCTCAGTTGAGCCCAATCACTCTCCCCTGTTACAAAATCCTATAGAAGCGGTTCCTTCACTTTTCACTTTTCAAGGTGGTCCTAAAAAGTCTACCTTAACTTCTTTAATAAGTGTCATTGAATAGTTTTTTTAAAAAAACACAGTTGAAGTTTTTAAGAAGCAAGTGTGAGTTTTGCATCTCTTTTACTATTTCAGCCAACTGGATGCATAACCCAGAAATGCCATATGGCATAACAGAGACAAAAGACGGACGGACAGAGGATGGACTTTAAATCATTGTAGGGAAAAAAAGCTACCTGTCAACCCAAACTCCTGCACTGACTACATATATGCAAAAAATAAACTTTTATGTGATAAGCCACTGAAAATTGGGCTTTTTTACTGTAACTAGTATCGCCTTAACTAATCTTCTCTTGGACTCAACTTATAGAGGCTACAAGTGGATCACCTCTAATCCAAAAATTGGAACTCCAAAATGTTCAGGAATTTAGAATGCTCCAAAATCTGAAACATTTTGAGCTCCCAAAATACTCCAAAATCTGAAACACTTCTGGTCCCAAGCATTTTGATTAAGGGATACTCAACACTAGTATTAACCAAATATAAAAAACTGTGAAAAATAGGAGAGATCAATCAAAAGCCAAGTAAAAATGAAAAATGTTAAATGAAGCACAGAATATGCTCACATGTATATTTGTATAATGAGTATTTGTAATTTAAATAATTATTAGATGCTAAGCAAGTTATCAAATGTCTAAATTAAAACTTTAATAACTACAGAGAGATTAATCAAAAAGCATATATCCAGGATGCAGTCACTAATATAGACTCCTCTGGAAGGATGTCAATAGACAGGAATGTGAAAAGTTTGCAATACAGTTGTGTACCACATAGTAACATTTCTGTCAACAACAGATCGAATATACAATGATGGCTCAGTTAAGGTTGTATGGGGAGGGACTAGAGAGGGAGAATATAAATGATCAAGATGCGATATGCATATGTACCAATTCTCCAAGATGAATGTACATTACTATTTAACGTAAAGATATACCAACAATAAAAAAGATTATATTGCCTGGTGATATCACAGCCCAGTTTATGAAAGTTTAATCTATAATGTTTGTACAACAAAACTGCCTAATAATACATTTCACAGAAGGCAACAACCCCAATCACATGACTGTATTTGGTGAAAGTTGACTGCTATTTTAATATTAAGAATTCTCTGAGAAAAAGCTAGCAATGTTACCACTACTCCTTTACGTCCTCATGTACAAAGTTGGGCACCTAGGAATGGAGGCAACCAATAGAACCATCCAAACAAGAATATGGAATAAATGACTGTAACTTGTTATATATATTAAAAACAAAAAAACCAATGTTTAAATCTCTAAGTGTATCATATAGTTTATATTAGTTCTCTGTTTGGTCTTGACATAATCACCAACTAAATTAGTAATCGAGTCCAATAATTGTCCTATGGACTCTAAAAAAGAATATATTTGTTCAGATTATTGAATACGAATTTTTCTAATTGTAAAAGTAGCTTTTTCTAAGACAATGAAATAATATGAAGGCAGTAGATTTTTTTTAAGGATAAGGAACAAAGCTGCATTTAACTGAATGTTTCAGGTTTTCATTTTAACATGTATATTTATGTACTTCAGGAAAATACCCCATGCTGGGCTAAAATACACACCTGGAAATTTGCCACAAGAGACGCTCCTAAACAACTCAATATTCCAAGTACAAGGCCAGCCTTGTTTAATTTGATGATAAGGTTCTCTTCAGGATTCAAGGCATGAACTTGCTTATAACGAACATAAATGGTAGCAAGGCCTGGGAAGAGACAAGCCAAAAAACAACAAAGTAATAAATAACCAGGGAATAAAGTTGCCAAAGACTTCACAAAGGTCACTGTCATGCAAAAGCACAGAATTTCCTTTTATGAGAGAACACATAAACACATGAAAGTCGATTTTAAAAGACTGTTAAGGTTGCATCTTTAACCCACTGGTATCTCTGTTGCCTGAGCAAGTTATCTGCCTTCCGTTAGTCTCATATCTACAAATATTTAGTATAAAATTTTAGAGGTAAGTTTGTTATCTTCTGAAAATTTCTCACAATTAGAGTTATAAAAACGAAATATTTTTTTGATTAGCATCAAAGTAAAAAGTAACTATTCTAGAACTTGAAGTGAGCATTGGCAAAAAACTCTGAAAGCTTACTTGACTCACTTTCTTATCATTTTATTTCATATTTCTACAACTTGGCTCAGTCAAATGTAGCAGTCTAATTATAAAGGGGAAAAAGAAAAGCCTATTTACCATACTTATTTGTCAAAAAAGGGCCAAATCAAACCTTGCACTGCAGAAATACTACCACAGAACTCAGGAGTGTAGAAAATGTAACAGATAAGCTTTTGTAGATATGTTTCTGAAGAGCTTAAATAAAAAAACAAATTTCTGTAAGTTGAACCATTTTCCTGACTTCTGTTTCTGATGTAAACAAGTAACAAATATCATATGGATAAAAGTGAATATTGAGGGCCGGGGATGTAGCTCAGTGGCACCGTGCCTGCAAGTGCAAGGTCCTGAGTTTGATCCCAATACCACAAAAAAAAAAAAAAAAGTGAATATTTAAAATGATCACATTTGATGAAAAAAATACTTTAGTGAATCAATAAAAATTTGGTTCAAAATTTCAGTAATGTAAAACCCTATAGTAGGTTCCTTTAGCATTAGAATATCACACAAAAATCAAATAATTCCATCTCTAGTCTTAAACTTCTAATGAAATTTAATTGTGTTCAGTTCTATCTACAGTTTTCGCCCCATTACTGACTATCTACAAAGTCCATTTAGGGGCCAGGGATTTAGCTCAGTGGTGCCACTGCCTGCCTCATAAGCACAAGGTCCTGAGTTCAGTCCCCAGTACCAAAAACAAACAAACAAAAAGTTCATTTAAAGCCTCAAGGAATATTTGGTTGTACCTACAACTTCTATTGAATTAGTACTCAAATAGCTCTACAGCTATTTCTTAAAGGTTTATCTCCATAATTTAGCAGTTCTGTAAGTTTTTTTTCTTTTAAAAAGAGCATAACCATAATAAATAACTCAGTGATTACTTAGTGATTTGCTCAAGTACAACTACAAAATAACACACTAGCATTTAAAGAATAAAGGAATTTACCTATCAATTTTGTTTCTTACAACCATTCTTATTACTTACATAAAAATGCAGCGATATTTAGCATTGCCCCAAACAAGCACTTTTCTGGAGCCACTGTTCCAGTGTCACTGAAAGAATAAAAGAAAGTACTTAAGATTTTTTTACATTAGATTTTTCTAAGGGATAAGTAGTAACAGGAGTCATTTCCAATCCTATATCTTTTAAAAAGCCACTAAGTTCTACTATTATATCATTTTATAAAAAGAACAGAATTTCAGCTTATAAATATTTCCCTATTTCGTATTTTCTGACATCTTTTAAGATTATTTCCTTTCCACATAACAGAAATAAAAATAAAAAATTTAATTTTTAAAAAAGCTATCCCTGATATCAAGATCATATGATTGACTTACCAGGAACCAATCATATGTATTTATCTGTCTCTCTGGAATATTTCCTAAATAACACAGGTCCCTGCACAATTCTTGCCGTTTTGAATCTGTTGTTGCCGCTACCTCTAACTCAATTACACCTGCTCATCTATTGACCAATTAAGAAAATACTTATCAAGCACTAATACCATGTGCTAGAATTCTCAAGACAGGGATACAGAGGGAAATAAAACAAAGCCCCTGCTCTCATGGAGATTACATTCAAGACCAGTACCATTCCTCTAGGAGATAGTGAGTCACACAGTATTCTGTCCAGGCTTCTATTAAAATCACTTTCCTGTACTGCACTGCACTGCAATGTGTCTCTTTATATGCCAGTCCTTCAAGACACCATGGAAAACAGACCCAGATAGAAAATACACCATTTACTAACTGTGGGACCTTGGGCACATTCTCTTATCTCCCTAAGATTATTCCTTATCTGCAAAATGGAGCTACTTATTTGCTCCCAGCCTAAAAATAAGGATGACAGCACCTGCCTGGTAAGTACAAGCCCCTGAGTTCAATTCCCAGTACCAAAAAATAAAAAATAAAAAAATAAGGATGAAATGAAATGTGTAATGTATGCAAAGTACTAGTATCCATTAAATATTAGTTCCTGTTGCTTCCTTAAAATTACTACAACAATTAAAAGACAAAATCTTTGGCCTTTAAGTATTATAGGAATGAGATAACCCAGATCTCAGCTGAGACAATGCATTAGAAATAAAAAAGAAATGGAAAGTTTTATCTAGTAAGGAAGAAGTAAGATTGGGTGAAGATTTGAATTAGAGGCTTAACAAAAGGAAATTATCAAACATGAATTCTAAGCATTGTTTCTTCCAACTTTACAATTCCATGAGTCTTTCTCTTTAAAACTAAAAATGAAAAAACAAAAACAAAAAATAATGTATTAGTAAAGAAATAGTTATAAGACAATAAAATGTGTCTTTATGAGCAAGAGATTTTGTTACTTCTTTACCATCTTCAGGAATGGGAATAATAAGGTCTCTTTGTCCCCACATACTACCTTTCAAGTTGCCTACAATGTATATGTATTATTGTTACCGTAAGAAAAAATCTGTAATTTTAATATAGTATTTTTACTCCAAATGATGCTCCTGTTCTAGACTGCCCCAGAAATAAGTAATAGTATGCACTTCCAAGATGGTTGGCCCAATCATACATTGCAATCACATATATGGGTTGAAAGCAGAATGCCATCAACACTGGCCTAAAAATGAAAACAGCCATGCACATCACCTCATTAGCACAGAACTTCAATCCAGTGGTCACCAAATGATTTAGGTTACGTACTAAATAACAAAAAAAAGTCTGATGTGTAACTTTAAAATACATGTATTTATATTATTATTATCCCATATTTAAATATCAGCAAGGCTAAAGTATTTTTCATTTAAGAAATATACATACATATTCTAATATTTTCTTCTAATATCCTGGTGGCTAGTCTTCTGCACCTTACTTAGACATCCACCATTTGAACCAGCTAAGAAAATACGTAAAGCACACTGGCAACAAAATTTGAAGTGAAAATTTCACTTCTGAAGTGAAATTTCTACTTGGTTCTGTCCTTTGTGGCTATAATATCTAAACCTTTTGAATAGGATCTATTAGCTGAAAGAAATTTTGTGGGATATCTAGTTTATTTATTTTGAATATGAAGGAAACAAGCTGAAGAAGTAAAAATAAGTACTGTACTACAGTTTACTATAGTTTAAATATTTTTAAATGTTGGAGAAAGATCCCTGAGTAACATACTAAGTTCATTAGTGAAAAATAAAAAAGCAGAAGGAAAGAGAGAAAAAAGAGTGTCCAAGGTACTATTAGAAAATCACATGCAATATCATCAGGGAACTGAAACTCTCAGAAAGAAGTCAGTGGCCTCTTAAGTTATTTAAAGCTCTTTAAAGTGACACAAGACAAGTTTTCAGAAGGGGAAATAAAAATACTGAATGTCCCTCATGAATCATACACATACACATACACACACACACACACACACACACACACACACACACACACACACACACCCCTTTTCTCAGAGTTACTGAAAAAATGGTCTAAGCTAGGTGTGGTGGTGCATGCTTGTAATCCCAGCACTTAGGAGGCTAAGGCAGGAAGGCAGGAGGATCAGAAGTTAGAGGCCGGCCTGAGCTACCCAGTGAAGTTGAAGCTAGCCTGAACTACAGAGGAAAAAGCTACCTCAAACAAGAAAAAAGAAATGGTCTGGTTCCTTAGGCTACATGTTTCTCTAGGACAGTGATGATTACCAAATCACTGGTAAAATTCATAACCTTAAGTAATAAAAATTGGGGAGTTTTATAAAAATTCCCAAAATGCACCCATTTTCTTACAATCTTTGTGAGTGACACTATACCACTGCATACACAACAAATAACAAATGTAGATGATAATGCCTAGATTATTCCTTGATATTTTCAAATGGCTCTTTTTATCACCCTTTAAAAGCTTGCTATTTTCTGTGTTAGAAAGGTTATTTTTCAGAAAGTAAACAAATGAATAAATGAAACAATTACAACAAACACAAAATAATGAACATTATTTAACAAAATAAATTCATTTAGCATCTCTGTAGAGAAATGTTTCAAAGGCACCATACAGAAGCCGAATCATCATCTTTTTTTTTTTTAACCTAACTACATTCCTTTAGATTAAAACACTGGGATTTGATTAATCATATTTAAGAATGGTATTTTGGTAATTTCCCATCACCTCCTATACCTATTCAATTCATTTAAACTTTTATATAAAAGTTTAAACCTTAAAAGCTCAGAAACCATTGATAACTGCTAGTTACTTTTCTCTCATTGCTGAGACAAAATACCAGACAAAGTAAAAGGGGAAAGGGTTTATTTAGCTCAGTTTGTAGAGGTTTAAGTCCATAATCGGCTGGCTCTAAGGCAGGATGACATGGAAGAGGGTCATTACAGAGGAGAAACAGTTCATGGCAGGCAGAAGGTAGCAAAGCAACAAGGGTCACAGCTCTCTATCCCTTATATCTTATCCAGGCTACTTAGGGCAGGTAGCACTCACACCTTTAATCCTAGTGCACTTGATCCTGGCATTGCACCATGAATCAATCCCAGCATGACACACTCTAGAACCAGCCACCTCTGAAAAAAACACTCCTATGACTGCATGAGGCTTTGCGAGGTGGGCATCTATACACAGGCCATAACAGGGCAGAATAATTCCATTTACATATTCTAAGACACCTTACTTGGAGGACAAGGCACTAACGGTTCACAATTCATTAATCAACTCACTAACTGTATCTTATCCTGCTATTTCCACATTTTCTCTACCACACAGAAAGAGATAAGTACAAGTTTCATTTACGTTGCTTTGTTGCTGTAATTTCAATGTAAAAATCTTAATTTCAAAATGATGACATAAAACATCAGCTTTAATGTAAAGTATGAATGAGACAAAGCTTTTTCTACACAAAGAATACATAGTACTGACCTGATATAAGGCAAAGCAGGGTCAACATGGTGGAGTGTTACTGCAATAATGTATGAGAATGTGAAAGTAGCAGCTGTCCAAATTACAAGGGCTATAGGAAGGAAACTGAGGCCTTGCTGAAACCACATTTCAAGCAGATCTTCTGAAGAAGAAAAAACAAATTAGAAAAGATAATTCATAAGTTTCCTCCATTCTACTTTAGCCATCCACTCTCATAACCTGGTATTCATCACCTTGAGCTGTGCCCCTTCTGAGAGCATTCCTCACAGTATCCCAACAACCACTCTTCTTTGCTCTTTTGTAAATGGAACCAAGATGCACCCATTGGCCATAGCCAGAAGCTGATTTTCTGTCCCATCATCCCACATATAACCAAGAACTGTACTGCTTATTCTAAATTTCTTTCCAACCTTCCCCTTCTATCTTCATTGTCCATACTCTAAATCATCACTATCATGGGCTACATTATTATAACTTAATAGACTGTCCTCCTGAGGTTGTTAAATATATATAGTTGTCCTTTCATATCCTCAGGGGGATTGCTTCCAGATATCAAAATACACAGATGCTTAAGGCCCTTTTATAAAATGTCATGGTATTTGTATATAACCTATGCATATCCTCCCATATACTTTAAATCATCTCTAGATTAATTATAATATCTAACACAATATAAATGCAATGTAAATAGTTGTTACACTGTAGTACTCAGGGAATAATAACAAAAACATGGTCTATACATGTTCAGTACAGATGAAATCTTTTCTAGTATGTTCAACTTACTGTTGGTTGAATCAGATGGGCCAACTGTATTTGGTCTTCATCTGTTTCTAGGCAAAAAGTTGCTAAAACCCTTGGAATCCTCTTTTCTATGCTAACGAGATGACTAGAGGTTGGCAGTCTCCAGGCAGCTTCAGGACAGGTCCTGATCACAGTAAAGATCCAGGCATGATTAGAGGATTAGGACTTTGAGTCCCACCTACTGAATCTCCCAGGAAGAGAAAGGGGCTATATGCTAAAGTTAATAGTCAAGGGCCAATATTTTAATCATGCCTATGTAATGACGTGTCCATGAAGTCAAAAGACTGGTTTTGGAGACCTTCCAGATAGCTGAACCAAAGGAAGATCCTGGAGGGTGGTATGCCCAGACAGTTTAGAGTATGGGCAATGAAGACAGAGGGTGGTAGATGCTTGCTCCTCCCCTACCTTATGCACATCTTTACCTATAGCCCTTGTAATATCCTTTATAATAAACTAATAGACACATGAATTCTGTGAGCCACTTTAGAAAATTAATTGATTTTCTACTCACTCTAGAGAATTAATGAAGAGGATCATGTGAATCCCCTTGTAGAGCTGATCACACAGGTGAAAAAATTTAGGGCTTGTGAATGGTATCCAAAGTAGGGAATCCTTCAGGGCTGAGAACTCAATCTTTGGTATCTGATGCTATCTGTAGGCAGAAACTGTCTGAACTAAATTGAATCAGAGGACATTCAGCTCCTATCTGCTGCAGAACTGACTGGCAGGAGTTGGGAGTAAGCCCCCCACTTTCTGGTGTTAATACTGAGTAATATAAGAAAAAACAGTATTTCCAAAGTGTTTTTGGTTTTTCCTATACACAATGCTCTTCTAGTCTTGACCATAACTAATTATATTCTACCCTAAAACCAGAGCAGCCCTTCTAATTCTAATTTGACCACTTTACTCTCCTACAAAGAATCCTTCAATGGTTCCTTTAAGCCATTATAAACTGTCTTTCCTTAATATGGTTTGTAAGGTCCTTGCATCACCTCCAGCTACTCTTTATTCTCAATTCCTTATGCTAACCCTCATCATGTTCATCATTACAAAAGCACAGTGTTTATGTTAGCAATGTTTCTAATTACCTTAAATATATGTACTCATTTACTCCTCTTAATAGCACTACAGAGGTTAAGAGAACTACCCAAGACCATAGGGTTGGAGCATAGAAGAGACAAAATTCAAACTGAAACAATTTGATTCTTGAGTTTGCAGAATCACTATGCTACACTGCCATAACAAACTTCCTACACATCTTGAAATGTACCACGCTTTCTTGCACACCTTCAGACCTTCAGCACATTGTTGCCTGTCTGGATGACTAGGTTACAATGGTATCTCCCCCAGCCTCACTACCTACTCAGTTAATTTCTATACACTTTTTCAAGTCCATACTCTTTCTGGCTCCAGCTGAGTATCTCTGTTTTTTCCAACAGCACCCTGTACTCCTTCAACCAGAACACTCATCACGCTTATTGGTCATTTGCTTATTCGGTTTTATCTTTCTCACTAGTCTTTATAGCAGGAAACAATTGTTTTATTCATCATTACATTCCCAGCTCCTATATGAGGGAGAAAGAAAAATACATATATGCCAAAAATACATATATACACATCACTTTCTCCCTTAAATTCCAGACTGAGTGCTACATAATAGTCAATAACATGCATTAGAAAATACTACATCTTTGTGCCTCTATTTTTTAAATTTAATTTTTAAAAACATAGAAGTAATTTTAAATTATAAGAAATTGCTCACGCACATGCATGTGTGAATAATGTGGAGGAGCATCTTCTCATAGTTTGATGACCTAAAAGAATTTAGTATTTCCCATGAACTTCATAAAGATCCTAGTCACTGCTATTTGCCACAATCCTCCACTGTGCTCAACTTCCTTATCTCAGAATGACTTTCCAAATGATGAAATCTTAGCCATTTTTTAGTTGTACTTCCCATTTACTCTGGTCATCTGACTTATTGCTAAAAAGTACATTTACATCTTGCTAAGTTTCTTTCCATTATTGCTACAGTCACTATTATAGGCTTTATTTCAGTAATTTCTGGCCTAAATTATTATGTCCTCTTTTTATACTTGTTTCTTGTCACTCCTTAACATTCTATCAACATTTCTTTTCCTTCATCTACTAAGTTAGTAATGCCAATTCCTTCCCAAGATCCTAAAAGTACCTTCTCTAGTATGGGTTTCTGGGATAACAATTTTCAATTTGTACAAATGTTTAATCACTTCTGAGACTGTTTCCAATAATTCCTAACTGAAGTCCTTAGGAAACCAGTTCCAGTATTTGTTGGTCTACCAACCCTTGCATATGTTGTATGGTTTTCAACTGTGAGCTTATATTTGGATGATCTTAATCTGGAATATTCTAAAAGGCTTAAATTAAGGGTTTATACTTACTTTTGTCAAACCATTCAGGCACATTACTAGCCAGGGTCAAGTTTTAATTTTGTGGCTTTGAGTTTTTTAGACCATAATGTAAACTTCAACTTGAAGCTGAGTGATGGCAGACTGTACAGCTTCAAATTCTCAGGTGGTATCTTTATCCACCCAAACCTGTGGTGAAAATGTACAAACTCCTTTTGTGACTTCCTTTTTCCAGTAAGGAGTTACAGTTATCTCCCTGCCCCACTTTGAGATCCTAGCTGAATTTGGGAAGAGATGGTTCTCCAAGGCCAAGAGTACAATTTCAAGGAAATATTTATATTTTATTCTAAGAAAATGTCATCCACTGAAACACAGGTACCCATTATACAAACTACCCATGTGAATGGTGCCTACTGGGTTGTGTACTTGGAAGTCACTGAGTTGTGAATTCTATTTCTCTACCCTAGTAGAGAACAGGAGGAGGCTATACATCACTTGTCCCTCATTATGCTTTATTCTGCTATAAACCAAATGCCCTCAAAGGAGACATCCTACTCTATTGGTTTACCATTCTGGAATCAGTTCCATCTTTGACTTTTCAGCCCTTAGGATTTCCCTTTCTTCTCAAAAAGAAAGGGAAAAGCTGCTATTCAGTTTAAAGGGTAACTTAATTTATTCAGCATTTAGGTGTTTTAGTAAAAGACATTTTCAAAGCATTTTTTCTACTGGGCCTGGTAGTGTAGGACTATAATCCAAGCACTCTGGGAGGTTGAGCAGGAGGATTACTAAATTTGAGCCTAGCCTGGGCAACTTAGTGACTTAGCAAGAACCTGTCTCAAAAATTTAAAAGAAAAAAAAATTTTTTTAATTAAAGGGATGGAGGCCGTGATGTAAAGTTCAGAGGCCCTGGGTTCAATCTTTAGTACCACAAAAAAAAAAAAAAAATTGTGTGTGTACCCCAATAATAGAAGTACAGCCTCCTAACATTTTATTATTTTTACATATATAGATTCTTCCTATTCTTTTGTTTTTTGGTACTGGGGATGGAACTCAGGTCCTTGCGCTTGTGAGGCAGGTGGCAGAACCACTGAGCTAAATCCCCGGCAATTCTTCCTATTCTTTAAAACAGAGCTCAAATGCTATCTTCCACATACAACCTTCTCTAATCCCTTTTTATCTGGAAGCAAACACTCCTTATTTTAAGAACTCTTGATTTATACATCTGTTACAGCTCTTTCTTTTACAGTATGGAAATTTGGGGAGGTGTTTTAAGTGAATAAAATTCTTCCAGAGGGACTCTACTCCTCTACCTAAGCATAGCAGAAGGCCTTGCCCATAGTAATCACACAGTATTTACTGAATGAAAAAATAACCAGAACCAAATCCTCTTAATTCTCAAAAACTGTTCATAGGCTTTCTCTTTCAATAAGTACCATTGCCATTTTTCCAGGTTACCTAGACTCTAAGACTTTAGCGTAACCCTAAGCTCTCTCCAAAGCCCCAATATGCTTCACTAAGTGATGGCAATTCTATTTCTAGAAGTCATTTACAACAATCGTTCCTCCCAATGCACACTTGATTCAGATTATCTGGCTTTTCTTCCCCTCTATCTATTGTAACTGCATTCCCAAGTTAACATTCCTAAAGCATTCCTTTGCTCAAAAACTTTCAATAAAACTGTGCAAACTTGCAAAGGCTTCATAACTTCCCTGATTTAGTTTTGCCTTTAAAAAATGAGAATATTATCAGCAGAGACTGCACTGTCTATACAGTAGGTATATGCATATGTAGGTATAAGTAGCTACTTCAATAGGTATATGTAACTATTTCAGTTAAAATTTCAATTGACTAAAATAATAGAAAATTAAAATTTTCAGTTACTCTATTGTACTAAGATATATTTAAAATACTCAAAGCCCATTTTTCTAGTGGCTACCAAAAGGATAGTAAAAATATGGTCATTTCTTTAAAATGGAAAAGTTCCACTGTACTGTGGATAGTTATTACAGAAGTTACATGGATAGCACAAAAGAACCTGACACATTGTTGATGCATAATCAATGGTATCATTTAGTATTACCTGTTAATCTAAAATGATAGCTGTTTTGATGAGGTTTATTCAAGGACTAAAAGAAATAATGTGTTACTATCATAAGTGGTCAACAAATATTTGTTCCTTTTATAATCTGAAAGATAAATTACCTGTTTTACAAGTTCACAAAATTTCAGTCTTCAAAACTGTTCTAACCTGTGCCATTTACAAATTCTAAAATCCAAAGACAGAGAAAAGAATAAGTTACTTAAATTCATGATTTTAAGTATTACAATTTAAATACATCAATAGTGTTCATCGGGCCGGAGATTTAGCTCAGTGGTTCCGCTGCCTGCCTCACAAGAGCAAGGACCTGAGTTTGATCCCCAGTACCAAAAAAAAAAAAAATTGTGTTCATGGACAGAGCACAAGGCTCCAGAATTATCACCAAGTTATTTTTCTTTAAAGAACTGACACTTGAATTTATTATAACAGTGGTGTTAACATCTGGAATTAAATAACGTTTTAATTTTAGGATATCAATTTTCTTGTCCTTTGTTACATCAGACACCTTTCCCTGACCTCAAAAAGGACAAAATAAAAAGAAAAAAGTTCCTTCCTACAGAAGAGGGATAAAAATTAAGGAAGAATGTTAGCTTATTATTAAGCAAACTAAAGCTTAGCTAGTGTTGATGCAATGTAAAGAGCACAGCTGTGAGATCGGATTTACCTAAGGCAAAACAAATCCTACTATTTCTGTTTTCCAACTGTATATTTCAGGCTGGTTACCTAACTTCTCAGTTACAGTATTCCAATCTGTAAAACAATCAAACCCTCAAAGGATTGTCCCTGGGAGTGGAACAGAATAAGCATAAAAATAATAATGAATCCCAGCATTCCAAGAGGCTGAGACAGAAGGATCACGAGTGCGCCCAACCTGGGCAACCTAAGGAAGTAGCAAGATCCAGTCTCAAAATTTAAAAAATTAAAAAAGAGTGAGTTCAATCATTCATATAAATATAAATATATGTATAATTTATAAGCACGTATAATGACAGCTGATTTATCAATTTTGTACAGTCATAATTAACCACCTATATAGGGTACAATTTCTATATATGCTTTCTAAGTATAAAGCACTTTGTACTCATATCTCCTTAGGCTCTGAGGGTTCTAGTCGTTTAAACTAACAATTCAAATAATTTGCCAGTTTGCTGATGACAACTGAGAAATTTAAATGCAGACTAGATAAGAAAGTCAACTAATTGGCCATGCAACTTCCCCTTGGAAAGCTGAAGGCCTGGGAGGGTAACTCTCAACCAAGCAAAATTAGAATTTTAATGGTTAATAATTCAAAAAAACTTGAAAACTGCTGGGCATGGTGGCACACGCCTGTAATCCCAGCACTCAGGAGGCTGAGGCAGGAGGATTGCCACCAGTTCAAGGCCAGCCTGGGCTGCAGAGTGACACCCTGTCTCAAAAAAAAAAAAAACTTTAAAAATACTTTAAAATATTCAGGAACAAACTTTACATAGTACTAAGAATGTTTAACAAAATGTTCTTGTACCTCTTATCTTCTGTGGTTTCTTCGAAGCTCCATGAATCAGAAATCCAGTTAATTTTTTTCACAAATATTATAAAGCCACTGGTAATAAGAGTAACTTCTTGTGCTGTCTCCTCTAAGTGGTGGCTTCTAATAATAAAGTATATTCCAAATGTTCCAAGTAAACAGACAAAAGCCCTGAGCTGCTTTCAGAGGTCCAAAGAACCAAAACATAACACACAACAGTTATTTTCCTAAACTTCTAACCTGGACTCTTGACAAATACATTTTGTAATAGTTAAATCCTTAAGAATCTAAAAGATCATGTATTTTTTTTATAAATTAAATGAAAGCGAAATGAGACTCGAATAACGCAATACAAATTCTAGGGTTGCATTTGGGTACAAATGTATAAATTAAAACTTGGGGAAACTGGAAAAATATTTCTATGGAGTGTTTTCTGTTTTTTCGATGCATGTTACTCTATTGAAAGAACAGGAAAGCACAGCAACAGGAATACAAAGGAATAGCAATTTCCTTTAGGTATTGGGATTACTCCATGCAATACAATTGAGTTCCATGTGAACAGAAGGTCACCAAGGAGCTAAAAGTGGTACCTCGGTTCACAAACTCAATTCTCTCCAAGATTCGGGTCGTAAATCAAATTGGTCGCGAACTGAATCAAATTTGCCCATAAGGTCAACATTGAACCTAACCATCGAATTTGATTTAGTTCGCGGCCAATTCGGTTTGCGACCAGAATCCTGGAAAGAACTGAGTTCGTTATCCGGAGTACCACCATATTTCACTCCCCCCACCCCCGCTCCCACCACGAAGGAGTCTGAGCCCCGAAGCGATGAAGTTAACTCAGACATAGTTTTTGTGGGACTGGGGCAAAGGTTCTCGGTATCTCCGTAAACAAAATCTGAGCAATTATTTAGACCGCTGTATTCTTCCCGCTGTTGTGTGGCACTGAAGATCTCGCCTTCGCTTTGTCTGATGTGAGGGAAAGCCGCAGGATAACCACTTAGGGCAGGCAAAGTGGCGACAGAGGGGACCAAGGAAGAAGAGAGGTGGGGCGGCTAGGTGAGGCCTGTGGCCACTCAGCCGATCCCCTTGGCGCCCCGCAGCGTGGTCCTGAGGGAGCCAAAGTCAGGAGTGCCTCGCCCGGAAGACGCTAGGATGCGCCCACTTCCCGGGGCTCACCCTTTCCCACCCTCAGACACACGTCCCTAAAGGGAGCGTCGGAGCCGGAGCCAGTCCTGTTCCCCGGACCCCACCTTTCGGCCTACCTTACCCGGCTGGCTTCGCCTGTCCAGCCGGGAGCTCAGAGCATGCCCGTAGCTTGCAGACCGGGCGGGGCTCTGGGCGCGCTCCCGAGCGGCCCATCCAGCTCCGGGCGCGCCGCCGCTCCTTTCTATCCTGTCTCTCTTTACGGCAATCGCGAAAGTGTCGTGAACGCGCTGCCGCCGATCAGCGCCCAGGAGTCGGAGTTATTTCTAAGAGCGTACTTGCTGGGGTCAGGGTAAGGCTGCGGGCGGAAATCGGCTTTGGGAGAAAGAAGTGTTGGTGGGAGCTTTTCCCCCGGAAGGGGTGGAGAGAGGGCTGGAAGCTTTGTGGTGGACGTTACGGTGGAGCTGTGTCGGGCTATCCAGAGCCAACGCGGTCCTTCCTCCTCGCGCAGGGTGGCCTCGCTCGCGTGGTTGCGGGGAGGGCAAGGGGCGAGTGACTGCCCCTCTGCGGGCTCTGGGCCCCGAGGTGGCGGAGCCCTGGTGCTGGAGCCCGGAGCAATACGGGAGCGGAGTCCGCGTAGCTAGGGCGGCCGCTAGCCGGTGCTGAGCGGGTCCGGGGCTAGGTCGTTTCCCGCTTGGAACCGACCTTGTCTGTCAGGTCCACACCCTCCTGCCCCAGTTCAGCCCAGTCCACAAACCTTGTAGCATCCTGTGCCGGCTTTGACTTCCCTTTAGAATGCGGTGGTGATGTTTCGTGGCTGGGCCTCTTCTTTCTCAGCAACTTTTCTAGAAATTTCAGAGCGTATTGAGGAGCTCTGAGATTGCCAGCGAGGTTTTATTTCGGCAGTACTCTTGGAAGGAGGAAAGATAGGAGGGTTGCTGGTGCTTGCCGGTGTTCCCAGGAACGTTTGGACTAATGAGATCTTTACATTTAGCCGTGTTTGTTTTTTCCAGTTTGATGCCTAGCATTTTTGCCATTTTGCATCATTGATGTTGAATATATGATTTTGCCTGAAGTCTTGCAGTTTATCACTGAATCTATACTATGACAGTAAGCAAAACTGTAGTTGCTTTTCAGCGAGTATTAATGTTTCCTTTGTATATGTTCAGAATACTCAATTCGTACTCACGAACTAGTAGGAATGTGTCCAAATATGTGTATATTGGATTGACTGACTGGAAACACAATATTATGAAAAGGGCATTTGAAACATTACCAATTTAGAATGGTTGGCATTCACATAAAATCCCAGGAATTGAAATTATAAAAGCATTTTTGCTGCATATTTATTCTGTGCTGTGAAAAACTAGTTAAAGATCCTTGTAAAACTTGTTACAGCCCTTCATTGTAAGAAATAAATTAGCCAAATTTGTTAGATAAATAAGTTAGATAAAACTGGCTGAAGGTGTTGTGTTCTTTTTGAGGATCATGCTGTATAGAAAATAACCTCTAAAATGTGAGGCGTTTGCTTTTTTTGACCCCTAGGAGAGAATTACTTCCTTTTTAAAGAAATGCACGATTTCACTTCAGCAAAACATTAGATCCAGGTTGTATTACACAGTACCATTTTTGCTTCCAAGTCTGCTGAAAAGGCTTTTGTTCTATGGATCATTTGTTAAATAATATTGAATTTAATCTTGTGATCCTGTTGTTTTTATTATCTTTCTTTTTTCACTTGTTCTTTATTATTTACTCCTTTTCCTAATAGTGTTGACCATTAGTATTTTCCTTTAGCAGTGCCATAAAGGTGGGGAAGAGCTGTGTACTACCCAATTCCCAATGAAAAGATTGTAAACATACTGCTGAATCAGTGCAGATCAAAACTTGGCACCCTTAGACATGGGGAGGAGGAGTGGAAATTCTGGAATTTGACACAACAGGTTGGATGTTGTGTAAGTTTACCTTATGCTCTGCTCAGCAATTGGAGTTTTTTGGGTTTTGTTTTTTGTTTGTTTAAATGTGATACGTGTTAGATGTTCACTATGCTGAAGTCCACAATAGGAATAAAGAAGACAGATGCCATTATCTCAGCTGCCATAAGTACAAATGTTCTGCATGATGGATTTTTTAAGACTTACGAATTGTGATTTTAGTAAATGTGTTCATTAACTATCTGATTATGTTTTTGTACCTTTGTTGGGCTTTTCATGTCCATGCCTGCACAAAGAAAATGCTTTGTCAGACTATGTATTTTCTCCTTTGGCCTCTCAAAACAGTTTACTGAGAGATGTTATAATGTAGCAGTTTGCAAGATTACCCCCAACCCTTTGAGCTTCTTGAGATTATAGAATAGTATATTTGTTTTTCTTGAAATTTCTATAGGGTCTAGAACAACTATGAATGCTCATTAAACATCAGATGAATCATATTTGATTACCTACTTAGTGCTAGGTACAGTATGAGATTGTGGGCAAAGAATGTTAACAAGACAGGCATGACCCCCCCTGCATTCATGGAGCTTACTGAGCAGTATGTGAAAAGGGCAAAACAAAATAGTTCGACAGACAGAAAACATTCAGTGTGATGAGTACTACAACGGGAGCAGAGCACTAGAGCCAGGCTATAACAAATGGAATGGTTGCAATCTCTATAACATTTCAATCAGTATTATCATAAATTGCATTACAGGTGGTGGGAATTTTTTAGTTTAAAATATTCACTTATGTGATGTATAAAATCATATCCCCATTTATCAATTAAGCTGTGCTCCAGTATTGTAGGTTTAATTATAAACTCATTGGTGGTTATATCAGAATTAAATGTTAAATTTTATTAAATTAAATTTTCCATTGTATCAGAATAAAGTCTCAAGTCTTTGCCATAGTCTGTAAACCTCTGCATTCTTCTGACTCTTCAGACTTCATGTTATCCTACTTTTCTAGCGCTTGTGATTTCTCAGATGAACAAGACAAGTTCTTTCCTGCCTTGTGGACTATTCTTCCTCCTCTTAAAATGTCTGGCTCCTTCTTTTCCTCTGAGTTTGGTATAAAAGCTACTTCTTCAGAGACTTCTACAACTCTGTTTAAAATGTGTACTGCAAGCTTTATTTCTGGCTCAACACTTTTCTTCTTAGTACCCATCAGATCACTGTGTAATGTTATTGCTTGTTTACCAGTTTTTAGTTTTATTTTCCCACTGGACATGGAAAGTGAGACTATGACTATCTTATTCATTCCATTTAGTTATTGACTGAATGCATGCAGAACTTGGAAGCCTTTTTCTCATAAAAATTTGACTGGTAGGTAAGTTTCTAGGCTCCCCAACAATTTTAATACTTTACTTTTTTCCTTTTTCTTTTCTTGGTTCTTTGTACTGTGATAAGAAAGGATACTTTCTGCCCACACATTTTGGCATAGGCCTGACTCAATATAAAATTCTCAAGTGCTTAAATACTAGTTGTACCTCCTTTCCTTATTTCCATTCCCATATCCTTTTTTCCTTTCTCCATGTACAGTAGTCCTGATCTTTCTGTTGTAGCCACTTGCTCCCTTGATGTATGCTTGCTTTTCGTTTGCTAAAATTTAAGAACTTCTCTTTTTTCTGAGATAGTTTTCATTGCAATAGTCCCCATCTTAGTTGTGATGGAAGGAAGAAAAAATGGACATTGGCCTGTAGAAATGTCAGCAACCTCTGTGGCTTTGTGCATGTCCGAAGCAAAATAGCCTTAGCATTTGTATGTTGGAGGCTACTTGCATCTGAGTATATTTACAGTGTTGTTTCTTATAGCTTCATAGACACAATGTTGTCAAATTGAAATGTTGGCAAGGAAAACTTCAAAACCTCGTCTCTTTTTATGTGTGATTTATATAATGGCTAAATCTAGAAAAGTTTGTCAAAATGTAGATTTTTTCTAAAGGAGAAATACAAGGTTAAAAAAAAAATCTAGGTCATGGTGGGGGGCAGTGCTCAGAATGACAGTATCAGTGTGTCAACTAGTCCTGCCAAATGTTCAAATTTAAAACCATAAGGATCAGTTGCTTATGGGTGTTCAATGCCAAAAGAAAGCTCAAGGTATCACCTTTTTTAATAGTAAGAGAATGGAACATTGCAACAATAAAATACAAATTGACTAAACTTTTTATTCTTTCAAATGCAGTTGCATAAGAGCCGATTGTAGCTTGCCTAATATGAAACTACCTAATTTGATTGTAAAAAAATCAAATCAGGTACTGTACAGCTAAGTGTTTTGGTTTTATCAGTGTTATTTAATTCCAAATGATCTCATCACAAGCTGTTTAACATTATATGCACAGTGCTTAAACAACTTTAATCAATAGCTCTGTGTTGCAATTGTGAGGAAGAATTCTTTAAAATAGTAAGAATTTAGTTTTGATTTGCATTATTGAAATATTAAGTATTTTTATTTTGGAGACCCACAGTTGGTTAAATTGTGGCATTGATTCTTTTGAGATTTAAAAAATTTACTTGATGAAGTTAGCTTGACTACAATGACTATTTTCTGAACCAAACGTTGAGGTACTGTGCATGATTTGATAGAGGTCTTAGATACCACCTTAAGTCATTAGTAACATTAAAATTTTGGAGGTGGACATTTGTGAGGCTATAAGGAGGAAGTCCTGGCCTGTATATGACACCAACATTATACCCACATATCCAGCTCAGCCTTGTTTGAGTGTCCCTTTGCCCCACACATACATACACACAACTTCTCCAGTTATTGTGTGTGGCCTTTTCTAGTTTTTGTCCCTTTCCACCATTCTCATGACCACCCTGCCAAGGCAGAATAAACCAGATCCTGTTACACACACACACACACACACACACACACACACACACACACACAGGGATGACAGCTGGACATGGGGTTTTTTTGTTGGTTTTTTGGAGGGTTTTTTGTGTTACCAGGGTTTGAACTCAGGAGCTTGTGCTTGCCAGGCAGACATGGCACCACTGAGCTAAATCCCCCACCCACCTGGACATGTTTTGATACTAAATCCACTGTTGAGATGTTGTACACACTATCACATTCTATATTCCCAAGATGCACCATTTCTGGGAATTCATACTGCTTTCTGGATTGTTTCTAGATCAAAGTATATCTTTCTTGCTTCAATACCACACCCCTTTTTTTTAGTTCTATTAAGATTTTTCTTTTTTGTTGTTCCCCGCCCCCTCTCTTTCTTCTCTCCCTCCCTCTCTGAGTTTTTGTTCCTCCTCCTAAGCACAATGAGTTTCTTGTAAACCCATATCTTTGAAATTTCCTACTTTCTAGTCTTTTGATGGTAGCATCTAAGTGATGATTTGAAATTTTCATCTCTTGAACTCCAGTCTTTTGATTTGCTCTAAAATATTTCTGCTTAAAAATTGTATGTATCAACTGGGTGCAATGGCCCATGCCTATAGTCCTAATTACTTTGGAGGCTGAAACAGGAGGATTGCTTAAGTCCTAGAGGAGGAGATTAGCCTGAGCAACATACAGAGACACTTTATCAAAACAAAAAAAAAGACAGTGAAAGAAGGAAGAAAAGAAAGCTATTGTTGGTCTGAGGTTATAGCTCAGTGGTAGAATGATTGTTTAGCTCTGGGTTCAATCCTCAGCACTCCCAAAAAACAAAACAAAAAGGAAACAATTTACGAAGTTGCATGCACATCTTATCTTCCTATGCTTGCTTCCAGTTCTACTCTCCACCTCCAAAAACCCAAAGAATACCAAAAGGATTTTCCTCCCCACTTTTCCTTTTGACAGTAGGGCCATTAGTCTCTAGCTACTGACTTTTTAAAAAAAGTAGTACTGGGGATTGAACCCAGGGCCTTTACACCAAGCTATATCTCTGACACTTTTTATTTTATTTATTTATTTATTTTTTTATTTTTAAATTTTGAGGCGAGATCTAACTTGCCCAGGCTAGGCAGGAACTTGTACACTTCTGCTGCTTCATTTTTCATATCTAATTCCCTAACTACTTTCTGCTGATTCCTCCTTCTAAGATAAGAAATTATCTGTAGGGCCAAGGATTTAGCTCAGTGGCACCAGGTCTGGTTGCAAGCACAAGGTCCTGAGTATCTGTAGACTTGACTATCTTCTACATTTCCATTTTTACCACCCTACTCTAGGCCCTCACCACTTAAAACTTGAGATCATAAGCTAAGTTTTAAATATTCTTATAATTATTTCCTTAATTATACTTAAATGTTACCTAATCTTCTTTAATCCTGTGTAAGTACTTCAGAAATTAAGTCTTTTATCAACAGTAATCACTTAATCCACTTATCTTTGTTTTGGGGGTTTTTGTTTGTTTGTTTGTTTGTTTTTCCCATTAAGTTCATTGGTACATTTTAGGTATAAAATACAGTTACATTCATCATTGGAATCTTGTACCATTACATGAGTATCTTGGTTCTTATTTTTTTCCCCTTTCCCCTGCCCTCCCTTCACCCCCCCACCCTTCCCTATTTGCAAAGATTTTGTTTCCATTTTTTTCCTTTTCTCATATTTTTTCACCTTCTTTCCTTTCTCCTACCTCTCCCACTTCCCCTGCTCCTTTAGACCTTTAGTTCCTATTACACAATATCAATTATACATTTT